GTTGGCGATGTGCTTCCCACCCAGCATTCACCGTCCTGCTTCTCACGTGCTTTGTGAAAGATCTTGCGTGAGTGTCGCTAAGATTCGGCGTGGCAGATCGGTCTGTCCATCTGTTTATCCCTCTCTCTGGCCCTCGTCCTCAGCCATGACGCCCAAGATGCGGTGAACGTGACAGTAAAATGTACACACTCTGCACACGCATGCGCTATAAATATATCTGCAACATAAAAGGGCTAGTGCACTTAGGGTCGACGAACGCTCTCTTGTCCTCTACTACGACTGAGTTCATGAATAATAGAAGCATTGCCAGGTCTACATGACTTCAAAACAAACTGACATTTTGTTGTTGCTTTTGTAAGAAAGCGTCTGGGAATAATATAAATGCGAATGTAAATGTAACAAATTCCCAATATTGATGGATAATGAAAGCCATGCTGCGTGCCACACTGAGGTGTCATTAATCACACCCGGCAAAGCGAGAAAAAGAGGCAACTGCTCCAACAGAAAATGGATGAGATCTGTTTCTGACGCCACTCAGTGCCAATATATTCTGAATATTGTTTTCATAATGCCAACATGACATATTGCTTTTCTCAACTGACTAAAACAAATGAAGGAGATATACAGAGCTACAGAAGAAGATTAGGAATAAGAATACTTGTTGATAGAATAGTTGCAGGTGTGATTCAATGGTCTGACGGTGGATTTTTTCCTATACAGCACTAAAACACTGTAAAGACCTGATTTTCCTGTCATCATGAGCTCTGTGTGGTTTTGATGTCCTTTTATTAGAGGAGGTATGAAATCACTCAAACCAAGATTATTACTGTTAACTAAAATTGAAAAAAATATATAAAAAATGTTTGTTAATTGAAATAAATTATTAGATGAAAGAATTATTGCTTTGGCAATAAACCCAAAATAGGTTTAAGTTGAAGCACAACAATTACTAACTGAAAATGAATAAAAACTAAAACTGAAATAACAATAAATTAACCCTAAATATTAGTAATATTTATATAAAAAATAATAAAAATGGCAAAAGCGCATAACAAAAATTGCTAAAAAATTAAACTGAAATTAAAAAGAAAACTGAAAAAATAAAACAAAAGCCAATTCAAAATATTAATAAAAATTATAATATTATATACATAATACTCTAATAACACGTGACTCAAACTCAATAAATAAATAAATGAATCTGAGATTGATCAAACAATGCTCAGGCCACTTTTATTGTAAATCAAGCAATTAATTTATCAAACACTCACGTCCCCAAGACCTCCTTGAAATCATAATTTTCCTTGATATCAGTTGTCTTCTTTTTCCATCCATTTTCATCCTCTCCTAAAGGCATTGTATTGATTTCCACTCAGGAACTAAACAAGACAGAAGTAGAGGTCAATGAATAAGGAAAGTGTATCACTTTAATAAAAAATTAGACATAGACACAAAACAGAGAAAACAAAGTTGCAAAAACCCTGGTTGTATTGAAGAACAGTGTTTTCAGTTTCTCGGCTATGATTAAATCTTACTGCAATAGTGTGGCATTGTTCAGGTGTGCATTACCACATCACACCGCTACTGAAGCCTGCATGTGCGAATGCCGTCATCATGGTACCTGTTACTCTTCTCAGTGCAGGGGAAGATGGGCAAAACCAATAGTTTGTGGTTGCATAAAGCATTGTATTTAGCCTAAGCATCTGCAGGGACTGCTTGAGCACATTGTCATCTGTAAGCCAGTGACCAGTTTTGTTATTTATAGATTTTGAGATTAACTTTTTATAGGCAAACTCTAGTGACTCTGTTATCAAGATGATTAAAACAAAAAAGAAATAAAATAACGCACATTCACATATTCATAAAAACATTGAAACTATTTTGTCATGAAAACTCCATAAGTCCTACCTTTAGTCCTCAAGAGCTTCTTATACATGAAACTAATGAGTCTAAATGGATCCGTGTGATTTGCATCACTATTAATGCACATACTACTATGTTTAACTGACATACACTTATATCATGACATCGCAGGACTACTGGACTACACACTCATTTTGACATATTGGACTGACCTTCAGCGCACATTTTCAGTGCAAACCCTGTTACTCCCTTCAATTAAAAAAACAAATCTTCTCAATTTGATTACACAAATTTAAAGTTATTGAATAAATTATCAAGCAAATATTTTTAAAGGTTATGCAACCTGTTATTATCTTGTTAGAGTCTTTCTAAAGAGTATTTGAAAGTAATAAATTAATAAAAAATGACACTTTTACATTATATTTATTCTTATTAGAAAGCCCCTAAATTTAGTTTTGTTTTATAATTTTGATTAGTCATATATTTTTATTTGATATGGCAAAATTCTAATTTTTCATTATTATTATTTATTATATATATATATATAATTTATGAACTTACATTTTCTCCATTACTATGCTTTTATATCTGTCTTTGGTCAGTCCTTGTTCCCTGTCATCTCTGTCATCTTTAAAGACATTTAAAATAGATAAGCACTAGTCATATAAGTTTGATTGTTGTAATTCTGGAACTTATAAAAAATATTTTTCAAAGGTCAAACACCTTCTTTTGTTTTCACTGACCATTTATTGAAAAGAAACGAAAAAACAGCTCCGTTTTGTACCCTGTTTCGTAAAAAGTGCCACGTCACAGAACCAAACCAAAGCTGACAAAATAAACAAGATTCAGCAATGCATAGAACTCATATACTGAATATGTCGTGCATATATCATAACTTTTATCCTGTCAACATCTTACATCAGTTAAAGTACAAGTTATATTTTTCAGATCTGTGCAACGCAGTACAAAAAGTAGCAGAATCAGAATTAACTTTATTGGCCAGGTGTGCGCAAACACAAGAGGAATTTGTTGTGTTTTTTTTTTATTATATTCCTGTTTTTTTATTATATTCCTTTTGGACCTGGTACCTACACCAGTATCAAATTCCATGCTATTATATACCATGGAATATTAATGTGATAATCATTCAGTACCATGCTATAAGATCAGTATACCATAGTAGTACCACATTCTTTTTAGCAAAAGATTACACATACAACAGAGCAATAAATATTAACTATGATCTTAGAAGAATGGCGGTTCCAAAGAAAAATGTTAAACATGCAATGCACAAAACCCCTAACCACTATCTGAAAGTGCTCCCCATCTCGAGTCATTGAACAAGCAATGCACTATGCCAGTGGACGCATATTGTTCGTTTATAAGTGTGTGTGTGTGTGTGTGTGTGTGTGTTCAGACACTGCGCATAGATGCGCATTCAGGAGTCTGTTGCCACCTGCACTAACAATCCTCTAGGAACAGACAACGAAGCATTAACAGGAATAGACTGAAAACAGATCAAATGTTTGTTTTCAGTCGCCGTTATCTTACATAGACTCCTACTATGCAACATGGACTACAGTGTATTGCCCACATCATGCATGAAAGCTTGCAGTGGCATTGCAGAAGATTCTGCTACTACATTTAAATCAGTTCATACACTTCATCCGCTGACTTCGAGGAAAACTTAAAATAAATGCAATACCTGATCGTCTGCTCCTACGGACGGATGGTCCTTATATGCCTCTTTATCTATCCGCAATTCCCTTTCGATGCAATAGTTGCGGGATCTACCCTGACGTCCAGTAGCGACTGGAGGAGGCGTCTTTCAGTTGACAATATAATGATACCGTCCGGATACTCTGATACTATTCCCGAGTGCCATTCACAGAGCACTATAGATTAAATAAGCTATTACGTTTTGCAAGCAGATGAGGGTTGGAAACGCCTGCTGGACCACCATGCCAAATGACAGGACATTAACAAAGTACAGTTAATACATTAAACAAACAAATAAATAAATATCCCTCGATATTACCCTAAATATTTGAAACCACGTCGGCTACATTTGTTTTACCTTTTGCACTTTTAATTTAGTATGTAGTGTTTTGCTCTTATTTGCTAATTTATATATTTTTTAAGTTGGTGTAATTATTTTTAATCTTATTTCAATTAGTTAGCCTACTTCATGTATTATTAATTATGCAGCATGTTCATTTTGTGGCCTAAAACCCGAAAGCGAATTTGCGTTTTCAAGCAAATAATGGGCTCCCTAGAGAATTTCCAATAAGCTTTTAGTATGCAGCATCTTATTACAGTCTTATATATATATATATATATA